TAGTCCCAGCTACTCGGGAGGCTGAGGCAGGAGGATCGCTTGAGCCCAGGAGTCTGAGGTTGCTGTGAGCTAGGATGACGCCACGGCACTCACTCTAGGCCGGACAAAAAGAGTGAGACTTTGTCTCAAAAAAAAAAAAAAGGTCAGGCAACCTCTATTGTCACAGCTTTGTTACGACTCTCCTCAGTCATTGAGTCTGAGCACCTGTTCTCACATCAGGTGCACAGATGGAGATGGTCCTTGTCCTTGAGGTATACTTGCTGAGACATAGGCAGACATTTCTGTCTCTTTTAAGTGTTAAAATGAAAATGGAGGCTTGCCCAGGGCCTAAGGGGATATAGAGAAAGTTCAGGAAAACTTTCCTGGAAGATGTATTACTAGGCAGAATCTTAAAGAATGAATCAAAATAACCAGATGGATAAATGTGGAGGGCCTTCCTGCCAGACAGAAAGCCCTGTTTGGTACCATCGTGTGGCAGGCAGTGTTTGATGCGGCAAGTGCAGTGTGCATGGGGCAGACGGTGGAGGCTGAGGACCCTTGTTCGATCCTGTACGTGGTGGGGGTTAACGTTATGCATTTTAGTTAGTGCTGTCTGACTGCTGCCTAGACAGGAGTTGTCGATCCAGATGCTTGGGGCCCAGGCAGATACTTGGTAAGTGACACCGAGCAGGAGTGAGGTGGGGGGTGACCGGGAGGGCTGTGGGAAATTCTGCAGTGCAGCCTCATTGAAGTGGGCAGTGACCACTCAGCTTGGGCTGATTGTTGCCATGTGGGAATAGGGGTCCTGCATTGCCAGATCTGCTGGTTTTCTAGAAAAATTGGAAATGGAAATTAGGATTAGAATGTAAACTCTTAGGATTTTTAAATGTTGGCAGCTAATCTAATTAAAAATAAAAATACATTCAACAAACAAAAATCAAATCAGACACCATAAATACTCATTGGTTGGTGAGATGTGTCCCATCTGTCTTCTGGATATGAGAGGGAGGCCCTATGGCAGGAGACCAGTTATCAGACATCATAGTAATCCAGGTGAGAGATGATGAGGGCCTGGGATAGGACACTGAGACCAGGGCTGAAAGAGGGAGAGAATAAATGTTTGAGGTATAAAATTGTCTGTGAGGAAGGAGACTTTGGTGACTGGTAGTTCATGGATCTGGTGCCTGGGTGTGTGCCAATATCACAGGGTTTTAAATGCACCAGGGGCAGGGCAGAGGCTGCAAGGCAGGGCAGGGTCAGCCGGGTTGATGGTGACTGTTCTGTCTTTGTGCCCCTGCCTGAGGCAGACAGTGACTGGGATTATCAGAGGTGTGTCAGGAGGAGGCTGGCCACTCCACATCCTCCAGGCCCCTGGTCCTTTGCCAGGCTTGTGGCCTAAGGAACCCAGCATAGAATTCCTCCTTCCTTCCCTTTAACCATCCAGCTGCCCTGCCAAGAGCAAAGTGTGTTCTGCACAATGATTCTTTTATGCACTTACTGTGTGTTCTGTAATAATCAAAATGTGCTATAACTTCCTCAACTTTAAATTTTGCTAGCAAATAATTATATGAAGAACTAGGGAATAAAACAGAAACTTGTAGGTTAGATAATAAACCAGGGAAATAATACCTTGATTTTGTACAGTACTTTCTAGTTGATAAAGAGCTGTTTATGCATATTTTAATAATATATGGTAGCTACTCTTTTGATTATCCTTATTGAAGACATACTGTAGCCCACTCACTGTGCTATAAGCACCTTAAACAAAATATCTCAGCTAATCTGTACAGTGACCTCATGAGGTAGATAATTAATACTTTCATTTTTTTCATATGAGCAAAGTGAGGCTCAGAACTATTAAGGAATTCCCCAAGTTCACATAGTGAGTAAACCTCCAAGCCAGGACTATGTCTAGGTCTTCTGGCTCAGAGTCCAGGGTTTTCCCTCTAGAGAAACCATAACTAGGTATTCAGGAAAGGAGAAGGAAATAATGTCAGTAGTTCCTTAATCTAGCTTGTCAACTTTTTAGGTCTCAATCTTCAAGAAAATCCATGCTTTTAAAACCTCCTGCTAATTCTGATGCCATTCAGATTTGGAAATTTCTGGTTAAATTAAATTTAAAACCATCAAAACATTTTTAAAAACTCATTGATAAGTAAAACATAAATGTTTTTAAAACCTTATCATTATTGTTTTTATGAGATTCTTAGATTCCTAAATTTTTAGATTCCTACATTTTATGAGATTTAGGACTTTCCTGGTTGGAAAAGCAATCATGAGCCCCTCAGCAAGTAGTGAAAGAAGAATTATTATAAATTACTGTATATAAAAGATTTTTTTACAATATTTACTCTTTCTCTCTAGGATTAGTCAGAATCACCACCACTAGGTGGAAGTGATACCCCACAAATCCTCCCAGCTTCTTGGTCTAGAGAGTAGTAAGTGGTGTGTGTTTTACTGGGTCTCCATAAAAGGACATCTCTAAAGCTTGCTTCTGTTAGTGCCCAAGAAAATTAGCAGGCCAAGCATAAAGAAGCCAGACTTTTAATTGTCTGATTGTGTGATTAAAAATCACCAAGGAAGAAAAATGCAATTAACATCTCTGTCAGAGATTGATTCCAAATGCCTTAGAACATTATTTATGATAGACCAGGAAGTGGGGGAAAATGTACTATTTGGCCCACACTGTGTGTTCTCTATACTTCAGTCATGATAACAATAATAAAAAAGTATAGGTGTGATATAAAGGAAGTTAAATATTACTGTTACTGTCTAAGAAATGTATTTTTTAAGTCTTAAGGATTGAGTTGGGCAGGAATGTAGCAACCAAATGCCAAATGTTTTAGGAAAATGAAGCAGTGGTTTACATCACAAAAGCTGGTGGTTACTTACCTTACTGAAGATGAATACAGGGAACAGGCTGACGCTGAAACAACCAGTGCTCTGGAGGAATTGCGCCAAACCTGCCGCAGACCCGACTTCCCGTCATGGCTGGTCGTCTCCAGACTCCAGACTCCTAAAAAGTAAGCCACGCTCAGCTGCTCAGACCATAGCTTGGGTTAGAATGATTTTGGAGATAGTGTGATGGTTTGGTGTAGGCACTTGAGCTTAGAAATTGACTACTTCCCTGGATAACTGGTGATGTGGAAGTTGTCAGAGGTTCTTTTTCTTCGGTACTGTGACTTTGCACGGTAGAACTGCTAATGTTAGAATAAATATTGACCTGATGTTTTATAGGGAATGCTATAAAGATAACTTCCATTTGGGAAGGGAAAGGTGGAATGGGATGTGTGACATGCTTCTCATTCTACTGGTGTGGAAAATCATTTCTAAAGTTCACCAAGAAAGTCATGTCCGCCCTAACATCTTTCCCTACTGCTTTCTGTTCCTCATAGCTTTATCCAAATAAGAATTCCCTCAAAGTAAAGATTTAAGGGAGAAAGTATTTGACACTAAAATAATGAATAAATAATAAATCTAAACTAATAAAAAATAGAAAAGAGAAGAACTAGAAAATAGGAGTGGGTACATTTGGCTGCCTTTGGTGCTTGTAAGTCTGCCTACTTCTCTACTCTTTCCCTGATAGTTGTCTCTAGAAGGATCACATAAGCCATTCTCATTTTTACACCCACTGTGTAAATGCCATCTTCTATTGACACAAAGTCAGATTTAATTTAAGGGGATAAGTAGCAAGGGAACATGTTATCTTTCAAATAAACCTTTCCGTGATAACATTAATTTTATTTAAAACCCCCAAAAAACCTGATTAGATTTGCAGATTTTGTTCTGGGAGGAAGCCACTTGTCACCTGAAGAAATCAGTTTGCATGAAGAACAATATGGCCTTGGGGGTGCCTTCTTGGAAGAGCAGCTCTTTAACCTGAGGACTGACACTCTACCTGCAAGTTGACTTCATTGTGGACAAGGAAGTGGGTAAAGGGCAGGGATCCTATTAAAGTTGGGCAGAAATGCTCTTTCTAGTAAACAATGGCAAAAGCATTTGCTGTGGAGAAAAATAAGTCATGATGGAAAGGAAAACTAACCTATATTGAAAATAATTGATCATTCTTGGTGAGTTCTGTTACTTTCGTACTATAGGTGGGCACCAAGATTCTGTGACAGAGTCATTACCACTTTCCTTAATGAAGACTTTGATTAGGAACAAGGGAATCCTGTTCTTCAAGGGGCCAGTAAACATGAACAGGTGCCTTGTCAGCACCAGGGAACGACATCCTCTCTTAATCCGCTGAACCTGTGTCATAAGACTCTGCATTACTCTTCCTGTATTTCCTCAACACAGGTGCTTGAGGACACCTGGAGCATGCTGGACCAGGGTTTTCTGAAGTGTACTCCACAGCATACCACTAAGTGCTAGTCGGTAAGGGGATCCTGAGATTAACTAAGATTGATACAAAGTTAAACAAATTTACTTCAGGACCTCTCAGTGCCTTTACTGATGCTAATGCACATTGTGAATCTCCTAAAGGGGAGAAGTTGTGTGCAGTAGTTTCTGACTTAATTTGACCGCAGAACCCTTTTTCATGTGATTAATATTCCTTGGAATACATGTTTGGAAAATGCAAATGGTGGTGGAATTGAGGTTTGGGGAGGTTAAATAACTTGTGCAACACCACCAAGCTATTATATTTAGAGGCAGCACTGGTAGAACTTTAGCCTTAGCGTGTCCTAAGGATGAAGAAGAGATTTCTAGATGCAAGCTGAGGAGCCAACTCCCTACAGCTTTTTTATTTTTTAATAATGGCCAACTAGCCATTTAATAACTGTGATAAAGAGAAACATTTTTTAAGATTATATTTTAAAGTTTTAATAAGATTTTTATATACATGTCTTTTTTTGTATTTTGAAATTGCAGGTATTTAACCTCTTATGACACTTTGAGAGTTGACTGATCGATTTTTAAAAATTGTTTAGCTATATATGTTTGTAACAACTTTTTACAAAACAGATTTGTGATCTTTTTTACAGCGAGCAAATATTTTTTTCTTGATTCATGATGTTAAACTCTGGAGTGAAATGAGGGACCGTGAGCTGTGACCTTGAGGAGAGGAGGCCAAAACATAGATCTGAGAAAAGATTTGGACGTGGCAAAACAATTGAAGGGTTAAGATGTTGCTAAATTGATTCTTTTTGACAATCAAACTCAGGCTTTTTTGCTATGATGGGATCATAAAGAATGAGGAATCCTAGCACTCTGAGATGCCAAGGTGGGAGGATCGCTTGAGCCCTGGAGTTTGAGGTTGCAGTGAGCTATGATGATGCCACTACACTCTACCCAGGGTGATAGACAGAGCAAGACTCTGTCTCAAAAAAAAAAAAAAAAAAAAGAATGAGGAATCCACTTTTATCAGGAGAAGGGTTATAGGGGAGGGACATACAGAGATACAGAGATTTTGTCACCATTGCTGTCCTGAGCCAAATTTAGTAAACTTTTTCTATATTGTTAAATAAGAGCATGGCTACTCATTTGGAACTTTCTAGATTGAATTTTAAATGATATTTCCTCTTGGAAGCTATATGTCATTGTTTTTGCCAGACATCTTTTAATATTAGGAGCTTTGCTTTTTTTTTTTTTTTTGGTAAAATTCACTAAATTCAATCTGTGCCTTTATATAGACTTTGATTTAAAATTAAAGAACATATATTCCATTCAGATTTATTATGATAACTATTTCACAAGTGTAAACAGAAGTTCTAACATCATTTATGTTATAGTTTAATCTGATTTTTATTGGTAATATAAATATATCAGATGTATCCATGCTTGTGCTCACCGAGTTCATCTGCAAAGAGGCAGTTTGTGTAGTACAAAACACGTGTATGAGTAACACACGAACAGTCTGCTGGAGTAGCCGGGACATCCCAGTGAGGACAGCCACTGGGCTTTACTGAGCCAGGGTAAAGACGTGCTGCAGGTGGAAGGAAGCAACTCCTAGCGGGCCAGCTAGCCAGTGTAACCATCACAATAAAAACAGCTAAAGAGAGACAAAGAACAACAGAATTCCACGACATTGTTTTTCATGTTTATTTTTAGAGGAAATCATGGATTTCTCAGTTTCTGTTATGTGAGTACTGTGAGAAGCTAAACAATTAAAAGCATTACTTGTGATATTTTTGGTGTATTCATGTTGTTTTCATTTGATTCAGGGTAATCCCCATCAAGCAATCTACAGATAACTCTTATAAGAGATTTTTCCCTCCTTCCTCTCTTTCTTTTTCTCTTTCTCCCTCTTCTCCCTCTCTCCCTTCTCTCCTTCCTCCCTTTCTCTGTCTTTTTAAAGGCCGTTAAACAGTTTAAATGACCACTGAGTAACAAGGCTCTGCCCTTCACAGGTGGTTGAAAATTGGCTTTGTGCTTCACGCTGCCATGGGTGTGCAATTACGGAGCATAACAAAGCCCTTTGCCGTGTTATTGCTTATGCTCAGTGCCTACAAAAGCTTACTGTGGTTAGCAAGTAGGACTGTTTGACACCAGATGTGTGGGTGAGATTTAGCGCCATAGGTCACCATGCTTAAACAATCGTATCATTCAAGTGTTATTTTTAAAAGGTTTTAAAATACATTTTACATATCACAAAAAATGCTTTGTGAATTAGTTATATAGTTTGCCAGTAATACTTAGGGCTGAATTATAGAGGAGTATCCATAGAGGAGTATCCATCTGACATTTAGGACAATATTTGAATTTATGACTCTTTTTTTAAATTTGGAAATTTCAGATATTTTCAGAGGGTTGAAATAGATGATGGATTACATCAATATATCTAAACATGTGGATGAATTAAGACCCTGAAATGATGTCAAGAAAAGAAATGGGATCTTATATTATTCCATATGTGATTATTCCTCAGAGTGAAAGATGTACAATTGTATAAATTAGCTTTTTTGTCCAACTGAAAGCAGGGTCCTATGCATAGATAAGAAAATGGATATGGAATTTTGAAGAAGGCTGCAGTAAGACAGGTATTTTTAGTTGACCCAGGAGCAAGCTGCCATCTGAGAGAACTTACTGGGTGGCATGTCATTGATCAGTTAACCATTTGGGTGTGACTCTTGGCTTATTGACTCAGAACACTGGTTTTTGTTACTGTACCGTAAGACAACCTATCTCCCATTAGCTGTTTCATATAGTCAGTCAACAGAGTGATTCACAGCCAAAAATGTAACGGGCATAAGGATAAAAACACTTGAATTGATATGACCAGCAGATTCTCTCTGAGAAGACAGATTTATGAGGGGTCAAATTATAATAAGAAGGTTGCTTGGTGAACAGAAACAGAACAAAGGGAGTTTGTTATATAATTCGCATGTTTAATATCATGAGGCCAAAGGGTCTAATGCAAACACCCCTCAATGGGGCTAGCCTTGCTAATGGAATGAGAGACCAAGGCTGTTGGCAAAGAACACCCCTTTCTTTATGCAGGCCCTGCAAACTTTTTCCTGTGACTGCTGTTTTTCCGATCTGTTGTTATTGATCAATATCCTACCCACGCTGGTGGGCATGTTTTTGCTCAGATATATTAAAATCTTCCATCTTTCTCTGGTCTGGGAGTCAAGTTGTCCTTTAAGGTAACTTTGCATATTTTTGTTTTGATGCCTGAATGTGATACCTTAATAGGTCACCAGAGATTTGGGATGAGTAGAATGTATTTACTAGGATAACTCTTGGAAGACACATTCAGTGAGATAGCTGCTTTTTTGTTTATTCTTTAAATAATTTGGAGGATCTGTTTTTTAGATTTGGTCTATTTTCCAAAAAAAAGGCAGTGATCAAAGGAAAAAGGGAATGAGTGCCAGCATTTATTAGAGATCCATCAGGCACTATACTAAGCACCTTCTGTCCCTCTTCATTTGAACCTCATAACCAGCTTGTGACATGTTTTATTATTTCCGTTTTACAGCTGAGGAAAGACTCAGAGAAAGAGAAGGTTGATGAAGGACATATATAGATAAAGTGGTACAATCAGAATTTGAGAGCTCCAGTGTGTCTGCTCCCAGGGCCCATGCTCTTTCTACTTATATTATTGCCATCTTTTTAAAAAATTTAGTTAAGAAAACAGTCCCACGGATAAGGTATTCACAAGATGACTATATCTGCTGATGCTGTGCACACGCCAACGCTACGTGCCCTGTATCTGTGTACACTGTAGACTACGGTCCAGGTCATTGGTTCTCAGACTGGGTGATGGACCAGTTTCCCCCCAGTTCATCACAAGTAATACTTTTATAAGATACATTAAAAATAATTAGAAAAATGAAATAATTTTTTTAAAGACATACAAAATATAAGCCCGGTGACCATGATGTCATGGCAATGTCAACTGCTGTATACATTTTGAAATGTTTAATTTCTATTTTGTCACACACCAGCAACAGTTTATGGACAGCACCAGCCCACAACTGCACTTCGAGTAGCACTGGTCTAGATGTTATTTTTCTGACACTCCATTGATTTTTTCAGGGAACAAAAAAAATTCCCAACCTTTTTCAAATATAAGTTTACAGTTTAAAAGAAAAGCATCCTCAGCTGACTATTTGGGAGAGAATGGCACGTAATTTGTTAAATAATTACAGAGTTCTTCAGTTTACTTTTGTTGACACTTCTAAGGAGAAAAAGAAAAATGAAACTTATGTAACTTATAACCTCTCCCTCTCTGCAGAGTTTTCACATTATGGAATTGTCATTATTTGTCATTTTTTTCTATCCTCTTCAACTTATGTTTTGCTTAATTTTCTCTTTTAACTAATTCATCTCTCTAACCAGTTAATGTTTACAATGCATGTTGGACTGAATGCTTGGTTGTACAGATTACTATATATAGGTAACTATATATAGCATGGCACTGTAGATTGGGAGAATGTAATATGATTATAGGTTTCAGTGTTAACAAAATACTAAAAGGTAGGCCCTGGAAAGTGAGACAGCAGTACTCCTGCCTTGGGCTTTCTGCCACACAATGGCAGTATTTATGGAGGGCGCACTATGTGTCAGGTATTTCATTTAAACAGCAAACCACCTGTAAAGCAGATAACGTAATCACCTCAGTTTTACAGAGGAGAGCCCGGTGGCCCAGAGAGGTTATATTAATATGTACATGTAAGTTCTCACTGGCAGAGCTTGGACTCAAATCCAAACATGCTGACTCCAGAGCCCACATTCCAAACCCCAGCACTCTAAGGTCCTTGGGTTGCCCTCTAAAAACTGGGACCTTCCTAGAGCCACCGTGGGGCAAGAAGCCCTATATTAGCTACCCAAAGCAGATGGGAGCTGGGTGAGAGTTAGGTACCCACCCGGGCTGGCTTTTTCCCCCATGCTAGACATCAGTAAGTTTCCAGTTACTCCTTTATCATAAGCCACAGTTTGTCCTGGCATAATGTAAATTATCTTCTAACCTGGGAAACCATTCCCCCTTTCTCCTACCCCTGTATTCTGTCCCCATCTAGACACCAGTCTCTCTCCCAACTGCCTAATGGTCTGGAATTCTTAAGCTGGGTATTCTTAAAGCTCTGATAAAAAAGCACAGGCATGATACCTGGTTGATCCTGCCAGTAAAAAAAAAAAAAAAAAAAAGCAAGCACAGGCATGGTTTGGGGCTTCAGAAGTAGCCTTTGTCTTGCCCTCGTGCACTAAAGAGCTGAAGAACTTCTGAATGGAAAATCACCTTTTTCTTCCCTACAGTTAGTTCTCTCATAAGCCTGCCATCTGTTATTCACAGAATAACAGTTTCAGGCTTCCACTCTGTCATGCTGAAGATGAGAAAACTGAGGCCCAGCGATCTCCCAAAGGTGATCTCTTCTTATATACCTGTGTTGTCCAGTATGGTGGTCATGAGCCACAAGTGGCTGTTTAAAATTAGAACTCTAATGCCTCAGACACACTAGCCACATTTCGAATGCCTAATGGACCACAATGGACAGTACAAAGAGAGAACTTTCCATCTTCCCAGCAAGTTCTATCAGATAGTGCTGTTCTACAATGCCATTGCCTTGTGGTACTGAGCTGCGGGTGTGTCTGCTTGCCCTTCCTGACTCCCATGGCTCTGAGAGTAACCAAACCATCAAGTCACCTGCAGAGTGTAAAGGGTCTGCTATTCTCACAATTAACGAAGCATCAGGAGTTTGAAGATGCTAGATGTCTAGGAATCTGGAAATATCTAGAAATCCTAAATGGGAATACAACTACACACATATCAGGCAAGTCCATGAATGGTTTGGGCCAGGGCTGCTTTATGGCTTGCTCTCCCCCAACAGAAGCAGGGAACGGCCTCCCCACCTCCTGGGGTGGGGGAAGGTGCTGGGCAGACTGAGGCTTTGGCATCAGGAGGGCTTGAATTTGAATCCTGGCTTTGTGACTTTGATCCCATAACTTAAACCGTTAGCTTCAGAATCCTCATGGTTAAAATTGGGACAGTGACATGTACCACCCACAGTTTTTCTAAGGACAAAATCATAGTCTCATTAGCACATAGCAAGCACCCAATATCCATGGATGTGGTTCCCCTTTTCCCAGATTCGCTGCAGAACTTCAGATCGTCTGGGAGAAATATTGCTCAAGTAATGGTCCCCAGCACCACCAGCAGCCCCCACCCCTAGCAGTACTGGAAGGAACTGCAATCAGAGGGAAGTTTCTATCTAACTGTCTGCTTCATGAGGTCCATGGCAGTATTAACAAACCAGGAAAGCAGGATTGTTCTTCCTATGAATTCCCTAGGCTTTTCATGAGGTTTACTGCCTATTGGACAATATATATGTTATAGTCTACCATTCTTCCTAAGGACTTGAGGAATAGTTTAATAATTAGCAACTAACCTCTTTGGATCCACACAAACTCAGCACTCTAGGGTAATTCTGTTTCTACAATCACAGGGGAAAGAGTAGGAAATGAGTCCTTAAGGCAGTGATTACCAGCCTGGGCTTCGTGACACCCCTGGGTATTTCCAGGGATCTCAAGAGGGGTTATAAAAGTCTCAAATCAAAATTTAATTTGAATGCACTTTAATATTTTTTAAAGTAGCATATGGCACTTTAAGGACAGGAAGAAAGAGTCACAAAGTCCACAAACAAACCCATGAAGGTGTCAGCTCAAAAGGCTGGAAATTACTGCATTATTGAACCTGCTGTCACAGTAAATGTTTCATAACAAAGCTGTGTTGAATTCGGTCTCATTCATTACAGAGTAAAGGACTTCTATTTGTTTGGTCACATCTTTATCATTTAAGAAATATTTAAAAATGGTATTTATTTTTATTTCAACATGTCAACTGTGCATGTCCAAAACAGCAGGCTTTTCAAAGAAATAACTGTAAACACAAGATACAGTATAAGTTTTTGACTTCCTACAGTCAGTTTCACAATTCCACAAACTGTACATTCATAGGTGAGGTTCAGCCTGTCACCCATTTCTTTATTTCTATAATTATACAAGCATAATAAATAGATCGGATTTTAAAGGTCACTTAAAATGAATCATGATAATTTACAGTACAGTACTTTTCAGTTCAAGTGCAAAAAATAACTATTTGCTTAATTCCATTTCTTTCACTTATTTTATTTTTAAGCTGTGTTTTGTGGTGAGGCTAGACATCCAAGTGTGGAATTTCTTCTCCCAGATGCAGTATTGGGCAGAACCGTGGGCTCGTGGGGAAGCCCTCACTTTACAACTGATCCTGCCTGGTCAGGGCCAGAGTGGAAGGTGAGTTGCTCCTTTCTAACTCTGTTCTTTCCTTTCCCCTCCTGTGCTCATCCACCGCTATTACACACAGTATAACTCACCTTCACTCGGCTAACGCTGCGTTCCCTTTTCTACAGCCCTCCCCCCAGGATTCCTAGGAACCTCGCTTTCATTTTCAGCAGCAAGCTTTACTTGTGATTCACACAGCCATTGTTCTGACTGTAGTTGTAATATTTACAGGTGCACACCCATATCTGAATTGTCCAGTGTCTGACTATGTCTTCACGGGAAAGAGTATATTGAGACTTCTTTCTTTAGTTGTTGGAAAGTACAGTTATTTCTTATTGCCATCCTTCCCATCCCTGGTTTCCTACTTACCACCTTTTCCTCACCAAAACCAAAACAAAACTGACCCATATGTAATTTTTAAAAATTATATCCCTCCCCCAGGCACTTAAATCTTATACTGTTATTTGTAAATAGTACTGCTCAACTAAAGGAACTTTTAGGAATTCAGAGATGTTTTTATTTTATTCCATCAGCTAATTAGAACCCAGATCACTATAAAACAGTAAATAGCACTGTCGGCTATTTACAGTATCAGTAGATTTAGTAAACCCTTGCCTATCAAGTCACAGGATACTGAGTTGGTTGGTTTATTTGAGATATTCCCTCATTTCTGGTCTTTCTCAAAGCCCAATTAAAACAAAAGGCATTTTAAAGCTCAGCTTAGCTTGTAGTAGTCAATAACAGCTTTTGTTGCTCAAAGAATTGACTGCTTTCATTGTATACCATATACATATAAAAATATATTTGCTAGAGATATGCAAAGTTTCTGATGAAACTTTTATTTTTTCAACAAAAAGCATATGTGCTACTAACTTTTATCTGGTTGCTTTTTAAATGTCTTATAACCCTTCAAATGGTCCTCTCCAAGAAAAACAAAATTATGTTTTTGTGTTTTTGTGAAACAGATGTATTCTGTTTCTTCCCAATTTGCATTAAGAACCAAATAATTAGAATAAATAATCAGAAGAGGGAAATTATATCAACATTCACCTTGAAACACTTTTGTTCCCTCTGCCCACTTAGTGTAACTGCTGGTTTCAACTCTAACTGCACTGGCAGAGAAGTCCTGCTGTCCTCAACCTAACCAACCAAGAACTGAAAGTCCTCGTTGAACTCCATTTCCCTGCTGTAACTCCAATGGGATTACAGAAGTTTACCTTTTCCCGCCAGTATGTACTGTAGCTCCTATGTATGTGTGTTTCCATGTTAATGAGCTTGAGTATTTAGAAGCATATGTGGTGCTGTGCTCCTCCAGGGGAAGTGTATCCTCACTGGGGGCCTGGCCCTGTGTCCCGCCGAGGAGCCCGATTCCATGCAGGGTGTGAGATGAGCAGGATGCCCTCAGCGTCCTCCCGCAGCTGGCTGAGCCTGCTGCTCCTTGCTCTCCACGCGCGGGTCCACGCTGGGGTGAGGGGGGCTAGTCTGTGTCTGAGATGCTGCTGCGTCAGGGGATGGCTGGTTTCTAGATGGGTCAGAGTGAGACTCACGTGGGACAGGCCAGGCTCTACCAGCTGGAGAATCTTCCTGATTCTCACTGGTCCCCTGGAGGCAAAAAAATAGGAGATGCCCAAGGTCAGTGATAGCAATTAAATCCCAATTTTTTATATGTTTTCAAGTAAAATATAGGAAACATCGGGAGATCATCCTGAAGTGCCCATTTCAGGGACCAAGTAATAGAGGAATAAGGACAGAATGTCTTACCTTTCATCTCCTTTCCTATGTGCAACTGCCAGAGCCGCATGAAAAACACAAACACTATAAGCAGACTTATCTTGTGGACAAAAGAACATTACTGCCAAAACGCCTGTTACTACTAGGCAAACAATTTACATCAGCAAATATCTACTGAGCACCCCCAGCCATGCAGCAAGTCACTGAGCAAGCACCACTGAATAAATGAAACTCAGGCCCCTTGCTCAGACAGCAGAGGTCAAGAGCCAGAAGACACTTTGTCTCATAGCAAGGAAATAAGGGATTCTCAGCCTTGGAGGCAGAGCCAGGCAAAGAAATGTCCTGTAATTAAGAGTCCTATTATACATTTGAGATTTCAAAATATGCACTAAAAATTAAATAAGTCAGGACATCCATGTAAAAAAGGGAATGTAAACAAGCACTTATGTAACCAGCTGTAAATAACCACGAATATACACACTCGCTCTACCACGTTACCAGCAGCAATTTCTAGAAACTGCCATATTGGTTTTACAAGTCAGGAAACATGGGTTTTTTTAAATGACTTTTCCTTCAAGTTTGTACTCATCACTTCTAATAGCTAAACACCAAAAAGAAAGTTTCATTTCAGTGATTGATTCTAAAATGTGAAAAAAAACCTTAGAATAATAACTTCTTAGGAATAACTACCTGACAGTTTTATAGTCTCAATATACCAGAAAAAAAAATTGTTTAATGCTGCTTAAGCCTAACAGGCTTCGGTGAAAATGAGGATGAGTACGCAAAGTTATGAAAACATTGCTACTCAAGCAGCAATCATCCTTTCATCAAATTCATGTCAATTTATTATCTTGATAAATTAATAAATAGAACCATGCATGGACCCGCATGCATAATGGTTATCAGTGAAGAACCAGATTTGGTTAAAACTATGCAAAGATTTTATGTTAGCTTACAAAGTCAAGATAAATTTCATTAAGGTAGTTCAACAAATTTTCTAAAAGGGAAATTACTCGAATTACTTTTTTTTTTTTTTTTTTTTTTTTAAAAAGAGAGGAGGGTCTCATTCTGTTGCCCACGCTGGAGTGCAGTGGTGCAATCATAGCTCACTGCAACCTTGAACTCCAGGGCTCAAGAAATTCTCCCTCCTCAGCCTCCCCAGTAGCTGGGACTACAGGTATGTGCCACCACGCCTGCCTAAGTTTTTATTTTTTTATTGGCGGTAGAGATGGGGTCTCACTATGTTGCCCAGGCTGGTCCCGAACTCCTGGGCTCAAGCGACCCTTCCACCTTGGCCTCCCAAAGTGCTGGGATTATAGGCATGAGCCACTACACCCACCTTACTCTTCATTTTTAAGTCTTTCCCCTTTATTTTTTTCTTATGTGTACACTGAAGCTACCCTAGATAAAGAGCTGACAGGACTTATCAAGTAAAAGGGAGTGATTAACATAAAAAGGGGAAGCTGGATTTATTACTTTGCTGACACTATTCTTAGAAGTCACACTCATTTTCCAAAGTCAGGATCCAGCATTAGTTATATAATTATTCACGCTGTTTTATCAGTATGATTTGACTTTACTCAGGAGAGACCACTCCTCCAAGGACAAGAAAAATCACATTTTTTATTTTTCATGTGAGGCCACCTACGCAACCGTATTTCCACTGAGTTAGGTGTCCTACCAGACCCATACAGTTGCCCAGATTATTAATTAATTAATTCAACAAATATTTACTGTGGTCCTGTTATAATGCCTCCACTAGAATTTTGGAATTGCAGAGATGAATGAATATAGTCCCCATAGACAAGAACCATATATTCTCATTGCAACTGGTATTCCATCAACGCTGAAATTTTAAAGAAATACCATCAACACTGAAATTTTAATGAAACATACAAGATCAGAAGGGATATACTTTCTTTCAAGAAATAAAAGAATCATGTCCTCTGTGAAGCCTTCCTCAACTCTGTAAGGCAGAATTTTCCCTCCATGGGACTTTGTATACACCTCTATAATGCATTTCTCACAGAGTACCAAAATCATTTGTTTACATGGCTATTTCCCCCACCAGACTTTCAGTAAATCTTGTTGAATGAAAGATGAGTAATGAAAACAACTGAGCCTACTTAAGGTATGTTCCATGACAGGTAGTACTGCTATCCCGGCAGAGGAACTTTACCTGTAAAGGCTGTATCTCAGAAGCACGGTTGTCTCTTGTTAGTTGCATCATCTCTTTGATTTGGTAGAGTGCGTAGACAAATGTCACCCAGGGAGAAGAGCTGACCCCCCAGGCTGGTTTGTTCACATCTTCCTGTTCTTCTTGGTGCTTGGTTTTTTTGGGTGGAAGTCTGGGCTCAACGCGTGGCATAACATCCTCTGTCTGTTGCTGCACCAAGTCGATAGTTGCTATGGGAACGGGACTAGAGGGAACAGGAATCCTTTCTGCCAACATTGTCTTATCTGGAAAAAAAATAACATTTAAATCATTTTTCAGAGCTTTCTACATATTTAAACAAAGGTAAAAAATAAATAAATAAACCAACAATCCCCTAAGTCCATGCTAGTGTGCTTGGCAGTATTAATAAATTGCTGTTTACCAAGGACTTCTTTACTTGGTACAAATACAGAGTAAATGAACGTGATGTTTATCTTTCAGGGTCTCCTTATAGAACTTAATGGAAATTAACTTGTATTTACTTAGGAAATCTATTTTTCATTTAACTTAAATATAATATCTGTGGGACATACGTTATAGTGAGTGTTGCCTTAGGCCCAGTTATAGGATTACGATTTTAAAGATAAGCATCAATACAGGAAAAGCCATGTGATAGCTATTTTTGTTGGCCTTTTACTGAAGGCAGGGACCGAGGATGTGTAAGGGATATGATCCAGTTAGGGTTACAAAAGAACAAAAGTGAGAAAAACCAGTATTGGTCTTTCTTTCTGAGCAACTCATCGAGATTAAAATCTGTCTCTGAGGTTTCTATAACAAGCTAGTTTTTCTCTTAACGGAAGCACTTCAGGTAACTGAGGCCACAGCTCCTCAAAGGATAGCGGCATCCAAAGACGAGCCCTGTTCTGGGACCCAAGAGCTGAGTAAGAATATTTTCATTCTACTGGTTGGCCTTTTTATTAAAAAGTTGAGTCAACCTATTCTCGTCTACACACTATATTTGCTACAAACTCTTTTTTGTATAACAATTTTATTAGGTTATTAAGTATGAAATGTCTGATTTCCTTAAGTACCAAGTTTGACGGTTGGTATGTCTGACATTTCACTTTAACACTTCGTGTTTTATTTTTACTGTGAAGGTACATTCTCATTCTTTCAAACACATGGTTTGGCTTGTGATTATCTTTCAAAGTTCTTTTTAGAGCAATTTTTGTGAAACCACGGATAAGAATTCATGTTATTTTCTAATATGAGTTCTGTCGTGAAACCGATGCTGTGCAGACAGCCCAAAATATTCACGAAGAGTTTGGGAAGGATGTGACTAATGAACACACAGTACATCGATGGTTTGAGAAGTTCCATTCTAGTGATTTTAATCTTGAAAAAGGGCCACGTGGGCAACCTGAGACCAAGGTGGATAATGATGAGCTGAAAGCCACAGTGGAAGTGAATCCATCTCAACCCATGTGTGAATTAGCAGCAAGGTTTGACATTACTATTCCAACAATACTGGACCACTTGGAACAAATCAGCAAGGTAAAGAAGCTGGGTAGATGGGTACCACATGAATTAAATGAGTATCAGAAGAGAAATCATCTTGAAGCTTGCCTTTCTTTGCTGTCACAACATAAAGGTGAACCATTTCTAAACTGTGTTGTTATGTGTGATGAAAAATGGATTCCTTCTGACCATTGCAAGTGTTTGGCACAATGGTTGGATAAAGATGAAGTGCTGAAGCACAGTCTAAAAATGAATATTCATCAAAAAAAGCTAATGGTGTCTGGTGGTACAGCACTGGTAATATCCACTACAGCTTCATGAAACCTGATCAATCAATTATAGCAGATGTCTACTGCAACCAGTTGTACAAAATGATGAGGATGCCTGCAATTAAGCAGCCGAAATTGGTCAATAGAGACAGGCCAACCCTCTCACAAGACAACACTTGACTACATGTCACACAAACAACGTTGCTCAATCTACAGAGGCTGGACTTGGAAACTCTCTGTCATCCACCATATTCACCAGACCTTGCATGGACTACCACTTCTTCCTGGCTTTGGACCACTTCTTGCAAGGGAAAATACTCAATTCTCAACAAGCTGTGGAAAAACCTTTCGTGATTTCACTGCCACTTGCTCTCCAGGCTTCTTCACTGCTGGCATAAACAAGCTACCATTAAGATGGCAACACTGTGTTGATAGTGTAGGCATATACTTTGATTAACTGTACTGCTTCTTGTTTGAGATATAATAAACTAAACTTTTATTTGAAACTGGACATTTCATATTTAACGACCTAAATAATAAAGGCCATGCCTGGTTCAGGGAAAATGTCAACCTTCAGGTTTAGACTTTTTTTCCCAAATGAAGGTAAAGGCATAGAGATGAATACCACTCCCTATCCCTAGTGGTAAAACTACTATACAGCCTTATATGTATTTGACTAAAATTTGAAATACCTTTAAAATACCAGGGAAATTTAAAACCAATACTTCCCTAGTACCTTGTACCGTAAAAGAAAACAAAAAACAAGAAAACCTCAAGCTACTTAAAATACCAATATTCTTTTCAGCATAGTAGATGGCTTTTCTCTAACAAAGGTACACATGAATTCATCAATATGCCACTCAAAAAATCTAGACAAGTAAGCCCATTGTATACTTCATAACCACTTCTGGGTTTCTGAGGGACATGTGTAGACTTCCCCGTCAAGAAAGAATGGGAACGGTCACCTTCTTCCTCATCTGGCACTGCCAGCCACTGGATCAGGGCAAAGAGCAGGAGGATCACCAGGCAGGCCATGCCAATTCCTCGGAAGGTTGCAGCAGCCCCTGTGGAAACAAACAGAGCTCTCTAAAGAGCAATTCCTGGAAATGCAGATAGCCCTCATCCAAAACTGTCACCGTTCCAAAGTTTTCATGGCAAAGGAAGCACAGCTTGGGCTGAACCAGAGGAAAGTGGCTGGCTATTATCTCCATATAATGGAAAAAACACAGGACTGGGCAGGTATCAGGAGACCCAGTGCTGGTATTGATCAGTTATAAAACTGCATTTATAAAGGATTTTTTCTGAGTACCTTTCACCTACAATGGTGCTCTCCTCTTCCTAAAGACCATTTACCCAACTATTAACAAACAGCTTCATTAATCTGTAGTTGGAATGGCAGAGCCCAAATAGTGCTAAATTCACACATCCCTGGGCCCACCTTAAACAGGATACTGAGCAGTTAAGATCCTTGGAGGAGAATAATTTCATTTCTACCTCAGCCCATATAGTTCCAATAAGGGAGATGTGACAAGACAGACATCGTTATAGATACACTGACATTACCAAAGCCAGCATATAGTTAGATTTCTCTGGTTCAGAATCTCCTGACAGAGGAACAATGATCAATTTTCTTTCCTTCAGCATTATTATCAGCAGGTTTAGATACCTTACTTAAAGCCAAAAGCACGCGTTCTTATTCATTGTTTGGCTCCTTTGAAGTATCTGTGTAACATCCCATTAAGTTGTTTGCCAGAGGAGTGTGCACAGTTACAGACTTAACAACCTAAGCACACTGCTTTACAATCATGACTACCATGAAATCTACAAAGGGAATATGAATACTGGAGTTTAGCTTCTGGCAATCTCCAGTAATAATTTGAGTGTTTACTGAGGTGTTGCTGAAAAGTCATGTTTTCATCAAAGAAAAAAGGCATAAAGAGAAAGCCATTCTTACCAAAATAATTTACTAACACGCCTCCAATCATGGCACCGCAGCCTCGCCCCAAACCCAGGTGAAGGCCCTGCAGGATGCCCTGAGCAGACGTCCTCAGCTCAGGGGGAACAGCTGCACTTAGGTAAGAGATGCATGCTGCCCAGATGGCCGCATGTGTCACTCCTGGGAGGAGGGAGAGCAGGAGGGGTTGACTGGTTAGCACTTTTTAGGTTACTCTTCTTTGAAATGTGAACTATTTATTGAACGAGGCATCTATTTTTTAAATATATTTTCTGCAGTAAATATGCATAACAAAATTTACCATTTTTGAGTGTACAGTTCAGTGACATTGAGTACACTCACAGTGTTGTGCAACCATTACAATCATCCACCTCCAGAACATTTTCATCGTCCCCAACAAAAACTCTGTACCCATTAAATAATAACTTCCATTCACCCCTTGCCCAGGCCCCTGGCAACCACCATTCTACTTTCTATCTTTACGAATGTGACTAGTCTAGGTACCTCACACAAGTGGAATCATATAGTATTTGTCATTTTGTTTCTGTCTTATTTCACTTAGCCTAATGTCTTCAAGGTACATGCATGTTATAGCTCGTGTCAGAATTTCATTCCTTTTTAAGGCTGAATAATATTCCGTTGTGTGTGTGTGTGTGTGTGTGTGTGTGTGTGTGTGTGTGTGTATACACACCACATTTTGTTCATCCGTTCATCTGTGGATGGACCTTTGGATTGTTTCTACCTTTTAGCTATTGTGAATAATGTTGCTATGAACACTGGTATGCAAGCATCTGTTCGAGTCCCTGATTTCAATTCTTTTGGGTCTATACCTAGAAATGGAATTGCTGGGTCATATAGTCATTGTATGTCTAATACTTTGAGAAACCACCTGCTTTCCACAGTAGCTGCACCACTTTACAGTCCCACCAGAAATGCATAAGAGATCCAATTTCTCCACATCCTCTCCAGAACTTATTTTGTTTTTTTTTTTAATAGTAGCAATCGTAATGAGTGTGAACTAATATCTCATTCTCCTAATGGTTAGTGATGTTGAGCCTCTTTTAGCTGTTTATTGGCCATCTGTGTATCTTTGGAGAAATGTCTACTAAGTTCTTTGCCTGTTTCTGAATTGGGTTGGGTTTTTGTTGTTGAGTTGCAGCAGTTCTTTATATATTGTGGGTGTTCATCCCTTATTGGGCACCTTCTTTGACAATATGATTATTTTTACTTTTTTCCATTATAATTAGCACCACGATTAATATTTGGGGGGATACAGCTTTTTACATAGCTTAGATTATTTACACTGGCTATAATTCTACAAGTAGGTTAATGGTTCAAAGATATAACGATTTTTATGCTTTTTAATATGTGGTTCAAAAATTAAATAAGAGTGTAGAGATAATTTACAATGCCTCATTACCAGTTTCATTATATATCTTTACCATTTCTTGGGAAGATGGAGATAACACATAGGAAAATGGTCATTATTTTAATATACAGCAACTACACCTTGTCTGAATTAAAATCTTTATTAAGATACTGCTTTAGGCCACACACAGTGGCTCATGCCTATAATCCTAGCACTTTGGGAGCCCAAAGTGGGAGGATTGCTGGAAGCCAGGGGTTTGAGACCAGCCAGGGCAATAGCAAGACCCCATCTCTCCAAAAAATTTAAAAAAAAATTCACTGGGCATGGTAGCATGCACCTGTATGTAGTCCCATCTACTTGGGAGGCTGAGACAAGAGGATTGCTTGAGCCCAGGAGTTTAAGGTTGAAGTGAGCTATGATCATGCCACTGCATTCTAGGCCAGATGACAGAGTAAGACCCTGTCTCAAAAAAAAAAAAAAAAGTAGAAGCAGAAGCATTTCCTTTTCCTAGTTTATGATATATTTTATCCCCTAAATTTTACAGGAAAGTTGTTTTAGGTAGCACAATTCCTAAGACTTCCTTAATCTTGTCTTATAAATATGGAAAATGGTGGAGGTTTTTAGATTCCTAGGTTGCTTTTTCATTATTTTAAAACTGGAGGACCAGAACACAACTGTAGTAAAAATATTGGCAAGAGTTTCAGATTACTAATAAGGTTACTAGAAAGTTGCATATTCAAGTTTAAGAACAAGAACTACAACTCCACAACTGTCTTTTATAGACACAGGTGATGTTACTAACCCAATCTATTCTTACAGATTGCTCAGTTTTACTACTTTCTTTTCTAAGATGTGGGATGAATTTAATTGGTTCTTCCACATAAATGGTATATTGAATTAAGTTATTTTAGGGAAGTCAATTTTAATCCTACATCTTCCCTGGAAAATGTTGGAGCATATAGGTACAGTGGCTTTCATTCTGCTGTTAGTACCAGAGAATTTTTTTTTTTTACTGTGTGCTTTACTATTTTTTCCTCCAGTTAATGCCCTGAGTTACTTTAAAGAAGGGAGTACCTAATTATCTAATCAGTCTCAAAAAGCAATAAGGAAATCCAGAAATCTGACTGTAGGAAATATTTTACAACAGCCACTTAGTACCAGCCAACAAATTCTAAGAATAGTTTAAAAGCATCCTGACTTAAGTCTTCCTGCTAGAAAATACTTTAATTATCTTGGAGCACTCAGAGCTTTAGAAAATGCTCAGAATTCTGAAGGAACAAAAAAGGAGACAAATCCTATTGTTGGAAGATTTTATGCATGTCCAAGCCTTCACACTTAATAACTGCTAAAATTATATTTGATCTAAAATTATAACAAAAATACTTATTAATATTTTAATGTTTTGATCACATACATACATAAGCCCATCTTTGTCTACTTGTAAATCCTGCAATTAATTGCTCAGACAGACATAACAATAGCTTTTGTGTCACCATTAAAGTTAACCTACAGTCATTTTGATGTGGTTTCAGATCTTTGGTGATTCATCTTTAAGAAATGATTTCCAAACCTACGTTGAATTTTACTACTGAATCTAATTAATTTTGAATAAATCAATTTTATTTATTGGAATATTTTAGAGTTTTTTCCTAGTGTTAGTGAAAAAGTGTATCTGAAAAGAAATGGAGTTAGCATCATCTTATTACTATAAATGAAAATATTTTAAAATATTCCCATTGTGTACTACTGTGTCAACCTTCATAATTAAGACTCTATCTAGGCATTATTCAATTCTGAGAAAGCTGGCATTATCTAGGGTATTGCAATTGTTTAGCCAGGTAAAGCAAACACTTTATTTGGTTTCTGTGGAAGTTACTTAAGTATGCATGCTACTGTTACCGAAAGCTCGGCACTTGTCCCGGAGGCCGCATCAGAAGAACAAGAACAAGTCGTGTGAGGAGAAGGGAGGAGAAGTTTATTACTTTGCTGGCAAAAGGGGAAAATGGTAGACTCTTGTCTCAAAAAAATGCCATCATCCTAATAATAAGCAGAAATGCAGGGCTTATAAAGGGTGGGTTCTTAGTCTAGACTACTGTGTTAATGATTCTAATTGTCCCTGCCAAGACAAAGCCTGTGATCTCCACCCACCTGGGCCCACCTCGGGCTAAGCTATCTCCCTGCCCCAGCGATGCAGGCCAGGCCGCAGTTCCCAAAAAGAGTAGGGAAAATTTTAAAGAGACAGAAAATATTTTTGCTGTTTTTTTTAGGCCATTCCCTCTGTTACACTACCACTAATCATCTAGTCCATCTTTTGAGTCAAAAAATAACCTAGTTGAAACGGTAACTGAAACATATATAAAGCCTAAGAAAGTTATTTTGATGTTTCTCAGTCAACTATGAGGCATATGACCTAAAGCACCCAGTAAAAATAGTGTTCATTCCATTATGGTTCTACTTAAGATCATCCACAGTAATTTTTTATTGTATGCCAGACATTGTGAATTTTACCTTTTTGGGTGCTGGATATTTTTGTATTTCTATAAATATTCTTTTTTTCCTCCTAAATATGCCTTCAGGATAGTACAGCTATAAATATTCTTGAGCTTTGTTCTGGGATGCAGCCAAGTTACTTGGAAATAGTATGATCCTCTTGGGTCTTGCTTTTAAGATTTCTCAGATGACACCAGAGGAGTGTTTAGTCTAGGGCTAATTATTTCATAGTACTCACACAAGATCGTTTTGAGTACTTTACCAATCCTAGGAATCATGAGTTTTTCCAGTTTAGCTGATTGGAACAAGTACTATTCCCAGTCTCGTATAGGTTCTGAATACTGTTCTCTAATGCTTTTCGTCAGTTCCTTCCCTAGCTTTGGATAGTTTCTATGATGTTATACTGATCAGTACTCTGCTGAATACTTTAAGGGAACTCTCTGTAGATCTCTACAGTTTTCTCTCTCCTCTCTGAGATTCTGCCTTTAACCTCTGGCCTTTGGTCTCCCTAGACTCTTGGCTAGAGTCTTCAACTCAGTGGTTCTCCTCTATGCCCTGCAGGTTTCCAACTCTCAGCAGGCAGTAAACTGATGCTCCTTATTTGGTTCCCATCTCTCAGGGATCACTGTCCTTGCTGCTGATGTCCAGTGCCTTGGGAACCACTGTTTCGTGTATCTTGACCAGTTTTTTAGTTATTTCAAAAAGGATAATAAATCTAGTCCCTGTTATTCCCTTCTGGACAGAAGCAGACTAAATCAAATCAAATCTGAAAAGAATACTGATCTTTTAGTTTAATTTTCCAAAACAACATGATTATTCTCTATGTGATGAAATAAGCAAATTTGTTACCTTAGTGGCACAGGTAAATGTATTTACACTAGAGTTACAAATTTTTAAAGCTGTAAGTACAAGGTAACTAAATTGATAGATCACACAATAAAAATAAAAAGATGTTACTCCTGACTGATAACAGTGACAAGGGCATACGCACTGACTCTCCTTGCAATATGTGTTAACATTTCCTTGGCTACTTGAAAGTATAACTACTGATACACTTTCAGTGGCAATTCAACACCAACCCATAATAGGTGCTTAATAAATAGATTGACTGGCAATGAATGACTCTCAGAGACCAAACGGGTCACGTAAACTTAGCTTCTCTGTCCTTCCTTATCTTTACTGGGATCCCTCAGGATTAGCTCTGAGGCCCAATGAAAACAGACGTATCTCCATACTAACTACCTCCAAGACCTCAACTACTTGAGGATACATTACATTTGAATAAACTAGAATCACTAAAAAT